AATGGGCATGGAAATTTCTCTTTTTTGTATCGAAAAAATATCAAATCGTGAGACTAAAGTATCCAACCGAATCGTGAATTTTCTGTATCGTTGCACCCCTAATTATTGCATTTTTATACTGTTTCAGATCTTTGTCTCAGTGGTTTGCAGTCTCTTGCATTTTCACCTCACTGTATGTTCAGTGTTTAGTTTACTCTGCTTTAACAAAGTTTTATTTACCACTACATGTGTGTAACAGAGGCTTCAGAAAGAAAAACTGGATGCTGATGTCAGTTCCCTGTTTTTGTCAGGCAGCCACTGCTGGATGCATTAACAGCATGTGGCTCTGAAAACTGCATCATTCTATTGACTGACCTGATTAGGAACAAAGAACTGGAGGAGGGGGAGGCCTACTCCTTCCTCACCCCCTTAGCCCTCATCCCTCATCCATCGCCTCATATCATTGGCTCCATAAATGTAGGAAGTTTGTATCTAAATCTCCCGTTTAAACTTCAGGGCCCACTGCTGCCTTCTTTTAGTCAAACTGATCTCTGCTCTGCTTTTAGGCCTTACTGGAGGTCTCTGAGCTGCAGCCAAAGGCTCTGTTGGTTGGGTCTTCTCTGGTCTATCAGTTGTGTAAAACAGTTCAGACTTCCTGTGGTGAAATACCTCAGGTAAAGTCCTTCATACAGACTCTTGAGAAAACCCTGAAAGTGGGCTGTGAGGAAGAGGAACCGGATCAAATTAGGGAGGTACTGTCAGTGATCTTGTAATGTATTTTGTCTCGTGTATCTATTCATAGTGAAAAATGTTGTAAATGCTGCTCGGTTTGCAGTTATTATTGTTTCTTCTCCAACAGCTTTTCTATTCGCTGAAATCAATTGGAAACAGTGGTTTCTCTGTCTTTGCCCCCCTGCTGAATGGCTGCATGCTGAGCCACACTGCTGCTCCGGAGCTGAGACTCGCTGCCATCCAAGCCTTCAGACGCTTTCCCTGCTCGGCTGATGTGAGTCGCTCCTACAAACACTAATCAGGCTGGTAGCTGCGTGATCAGGAGTGGGAAAGTCACAAAAAAACTTCTTGTCTTCTATAATTACCTGTAATTAGACTCACTTTTGTTTAAAGACACACACGTTAACCTAAACATCAACTACTTGCTGAGGGATTTAAATAGTGAATGTTTATAGTTGATGTGGGCTTTTCTGTAACTGAACAGAATGGAAGTAAAACTTATTGTTTTCGGAGCACCAGGTACAATGGTGGAGCCAGTGGGTGGTCACTGGTGGCCTTCACCACCTTAGATTAATCTCTGGCCACCCACAATCATCTGAGGAAACTTTTTAAGGAAAACAAAAACTAGAAAGTGCAATTTCCTCAAACTATTAGGGTGTCTGGTTTACACACACAATATATGGTGGTAGCCATCTTGGATTTGGAATCCAGTTTTTGATAGGGACCTTTCTTTTGTATAAATGCAGCTGCACTTTACKTAGACTTATGGTGTGTTCACACCGAACGCGATTTCAGCGTCAGGAGCATCAGGTTTACATGCAAAGTCTATGGTGAACGTGCGTCGAGCAGAGTCAGAAAGTGCTGCGGCGCGTCAAGCGCGATTAGAGCGGCGCGATTTGAACGAATTGAGCGTTTGACGCGCTTGACGCACAAATCGCTGAAGTTGGAAAATCTGAACTTTTGCAGCTGCGTCAACCAATCAGACTCCACTGTGTGACGTAGTGACAGATTCTCCGACGGGACAGAATCATGTCCACTAACCTGAGACAGATGGACAGGAGCTCTTTAGCTGAAATCGAGTGCCTGCAGTCGGTGTCCTGGCAGGAGATATCCGCACCGATGCAGATCAGCAGCTCATCAAACTGGACGGGACAAAAACAGATCTGAAAGCGAGCCTCGTCTGCTCGCAGCTCCTGGGTGATGAAACTCACCAAATGTCTCTGAATTATCTGATGAATTAATTATCTGATGAGTGCGACGTACTCTTGCACTCAGTAAATAAAGCAAAGCCACTTCCTTTATTTCATCTGACATTAAACAGAGACCGACAGAGGAGGACAGACCGGCAGAGGACGGTGGGGGCAGGGAGGCTCTCGACATGCATCAAGCGCTTTGCAATTTTGACTCGCGCCTGACCTCAAAGTGCACAAGCATCCAACTTGAAGCATTGGACGCGATTTTGACGCTGAAATTGCGTTCGGTGTGAACGCAGCATTAGTTCCTCCTGTGCCGTTCAGCACATTGGGCGGCAAGATGTCTCCATTGGGGTGGATCTCTTGCGACCACTTCGACCTTGTCTAGGTGGATATCTAGGGCCTTGAGGTCATTGTGAAAGGTACGGCGACAATTCCGCCTGTGATACTCTTGCCCCCCACCCCACCCACCCTCCCMCCCACATGATGGTATCCATTGGATGGTGGTTTTCAGTTGACGTGTTGCTTTCTGACAGAAGACATGTCCAGCAAATCTTAGTCAGTGCTCTGTCACAATGTCGTTCAGAGGACGCAAGGATGCAGCTGCACACCGAAATAAAAGACTGTACCTCACCTATTTTTCAAGTTATCAGCTCACAAAACAAAAGGACAGAAGGAGGGTATTTCCACGTGCTCTGTGATAGCCGTCAATAAAGGCCAAGTATTTTTTGAAGGCATGCATATTTTTGACAGTCTTTCATGCAAAGTTTTAGACTAAGCCCATCTTATATTGAAAAAGGACAACATTGTGAGTGTTTTGGTCAAGTCAACTTTAGTTCAATATTTGTAAAATTGCAGTGGTGGAGAAAGTACTCAAACACTGTATTTAAGTAAAAGTACAGATAAACAGACAAGAATGTACTCTAGTAAAAGTAAAAGTACCACATTAACATTTTACTTGAGTAAAAGTAAATAAGTACTTGCTTTTAAAAATACTTAAAGTATTAAAAGTAAAAGTACTTACTTAATGTATTCCCTAATGGTCTACAATATCATGAAGTGTGCCAACTGTATGTATACTGTATTTTAATACATCAATGGTGCCATTTTAGTGAACAAAGCTGCAGATAATGCATAGTTTTGTGTTTACACTCTGTGACACTGTTCACACTTGGACTTGTGATTCTATGCATCATCACGTATTGTGACAACAGCTGCATAAGATGTAAATTCACCACCAACCTCCTCTATCAAATCTCAACAAGTCATTTTTTTGAACCAGTTAAATAAGGCCATGAACGGCACATTTCCTCCATGGTGGAAACCATTGTGGGCATGCTGATGCTCTGCTTTTTTATGAAGGAGGGTCTAATGGTACTTTCCTGCTTTGTTCAATGGACCAATTACAGCAATTCCCCCTCTCGCCACTGATTATTTTCTAACAAAAAAAAAATCAAATAAACCACAAATAAAATAAAATAAAATAAAAAATAAATCAACGTGACATGAATGTACTTTGTAATTCAATGCATTACTGAAATGTAGTGGAGTAGAAAGTACAGATACTTAATGTAAAATGTAGTGGGATGGAAGTCAAAAGTACCCATGTTGAAATCTACTTAAGTAAAGTACAGATACATGAAAAATGTACTTAAGTACAGCAAGAAAGTACTTGTACTTAGTTACATCCCACCACTGTAAAATTGACAGAGTTGTTGCAAACGTTGATTATTTGCGGCAACTATCTTGATTTTCAAAAAGTTAATCTGAGACATAATTACCTGCCTCCACCTTTTGGCGGTTGGTGATGATGAATGTTGGATTATAAAGTGATAATTGATTCAGCATGAGCAGAGGTGGGGAGATGAGTGAGAGTCTAACATCAGTTTCCTTCCATTAGCGCTCGGTGCTGTTGCAGCTGTACAGCTCTTCCCAGGAGGATACGGAGGTCAGGATTGCTGCATACCAGCAGCTCATGCTCTGCCCCGACCAAGAACTGTTTGAAGTGGTGAAGACGACCCTGAGGAGCGAGACATCCAGCCAAGGTCTGCTGTGGACCTTTGTGGTACAGCAGAAATGTCCAAAATATGTTGTAGAGTCTAAAGTTAGGGATACAACAGTTTTAGACAGAGTACAGAAAAAGGAATATTTGATGTTCTGCAGTATTTTTGAAGCTGTTTGGCAATAAGTTGAGCAGCTCTGCTAATTAATATTTATCTATAAGACAATGATCACATTAAGTGGTTCATTCAGGTTTGACTGTTACTAAGGAGAAAAAAAACAGGATTTACATGTTTCATTAAAACTTACAATATTTTTGTAATTTGGTAGTTAAAGAAATAGTGAGTACTAATAAATTAGAACCAGAAAAAATTATTCTGAATAAGAAACCCAACTATGTTAAAAATACTTAAAATGATGAAAGTGTTAAAGGTCTTCATGACTTAATTTCCACTACATCCATAAAAAAGCAACAATACAGTTTGATTTGTGTAAATGTTTCCTAACTCCCTTACCTTACTTATTTCTTGCCCAAATAGTCTATCTATGATCTCATTAAAAAAACTCCTAAAATATTGTTATGGCTTTAGGTTTCAGTATGCCATCAAAGGCTATCAGTGTACCCATTTGACAACCTGAATAAATCACCTGAATCACAAATAGCTAATTGCCTGTTTGTTTGTCTGTGGTTTCTTTCTGTCTCCATCTTCTACTGCTTATCAGTGGTCAGGTCATGGAGGCAACAGACAGCTCCTCCCAKATGATCCCACGTAGTGCAGGCCAGGGGACATATAATCCCTTCAGCAACTTTTGAGTGTGTTCTTGTGTCTTTTCCAAATGGGGCATTCCCACAGTACTGCCAAAGGGAGGCATTTTGTGATTCATCCTGATCAGATGAAACCACCTCAACTGATTCTTTTCACTGTAGAGCAGCAGCTCTACTCTGATCTCCTCACAGCCCAAACACCCTTACCTGGGTGACATCATATTCATCTTCTTGTAAACCTTTTGCTTTCTTCTGGTTATTTTTTTGTCCAGTTGGATCATTTGTGTGGAGTCATCTTTCTAATGTCCTGAGGAGTGAGGACCCCATGAAGCAGACCTTAGCAGAGTCACTGCCTGATGACATCATCAGCAGAGATTTTGAAGCAGAGTTTTGGAAATATTCCTCATATTCAGACCACACCTTTGCTTCAGGTATATTTATACTATTTTAGGCCATAATTGAAGAAACAAACTTGTCTAGATGTTAACATACTGAGGCACTGAACAGCGGAGAAGGATTTAAATGTGTTTGAGGTGTAAGCAGTTTTTTATGTTTCAGGTCTTGGAATCAAAACTTTGGAAACATCTATGATTTTCTCTCCCAAATCCTTCCTGCCCAGATCTGCCTCTGTAAACCTCACAGTGTATTTTCATGGCAGGGCTCACAACCTTCTGGAAGTGAGTGATACATTTATTAGAATTGTATAATCAGAAAAAACAAACAAACAGATAATCTCAATCACCACTTTTTTCCATACCTCAGGTGGACCTTCACGTTGAAAACGCTGAGTCACTTTTGAAGAGCGTTTTTGGTCACGAGAGTGAACCTTCTGCTGAAAATGGGAAACAGAAGCCGAGACAGAACAGGAGAAAAACAGATGACGGCCACAGAGGAGAGAAAGAAACGTGTTTGTCCAACACCAACAGATATCTGAACCAGGCCAGGGCAATGGTAGGATCTACTGTGTGATAAGACTGAAGGCCTGCACACTTTGTCAGATTTTAAACTCTCAATAATCAAAGTAAGCTTTGCAATAATGAATATTCATCAATTAATGTAAACATTAAGTGGGCTTTAATGGAAACCGCCAAAGAATCTTAAATTTATCATGAGCTACAGGGGTTAGACAATGAAAGTGAAACACCTGGTTTTAGACCATAACATCCCTTTCAGACAGCTTCCTCTTGCGTCCACAGTTAATCCTGTTGGATGTGGTTCGTCCTTCTTGGTGGTATGCTGACATTACCCTGGATACCATGGCTCTTGATACATCACAAAGACTTACTATCTTGGTCACAAATGCACCAGCAAGACATGCACCAACAATTTATCCTCTTTTGAACTCTGGTATGTCACCCATAATGTTGTGTGCATTGCAATATTTTGAGCAAAACTGTGTTCTTACCCTGCTAACTGAACCTTCACACTCTGGTCTTACTGGTGCAATGTGCAGTTAATGAAGACTGGCCACCAGGCTGGTCCAATTTAGCCATGAAACCTCCCACACTAAAATGACAGGTGTTTCAGTTTCATTGTCTAACCCGGTGCTACATTGCTCTATGTGTATTAGCTAGCATGACAAACTAACAAGCTAAACTGAGGTCCTCCATCCACATTTTTAGTTGCAGGCTGAGTCATTTTTGCATTCCCCTCTCTGTCATGTGGATGACGACACTGAGCTAATATATATGGTGATAGCGTCTGTGCTAGCGCTAAGGCTAACAGGCTAAGGCTAACAGGCTAAGCTGAGATTCTTCTTCCATGAAGCAGCTCTGTTGTCCTCCAATCATATTTTCAGTTACAGGCTGAGTCATTTCTACTTTTTCCTCTCTGTCAACGCTCTCTGGTTTCATTTAAAAGAGACAATCTTCAGATATTGTCCAAGATTAACTATCAGGGTTGATAAAGCTTGCTAGCAGCCTCGCACCGATGACCTATTGACATCATCATTTACCCAGAATGCTTTGTGTGTAAATAAAATGGCTCCATCTATGTACCATCTATGTAATACATTTTTTAAAATTCAGTTTAATAATTATAAAAACTAAACAGCCTACAGTGTTTTTACAGTCTTTATTTTACAGTTAAAATATGTTTATCAAATAAAGTCTAATGTTACAACTAATCGTGGATACCTTTAAAAATATCACAAATAAGTTCAAAATGTCCTTGAAATCATAAATTAAAATGTGGATATCACCTGTTCAAAGATTCACTCTGCTGAGGTAAACTAGAGGGAAGTTACAAAGATTTTAGTAAAGAAATAACTCAGCGTTGTGCATTCTGCACAGGATGGACCATTTTGGTGCCATTAAAAAATATTAAGAAAACTTTTCTTCTTTTTTCCCCACACATTTGTCTTTCAATCAGTTCATGTAAAACAATGAGAAAAGATCATGTTTGACTCCAACTGGAGTATTTTTAAAGTAAAATCAAGTGTAAGAACAACTTTCAAAACACAGCATATTTTGATATTTGCTTTGACTTG